ATATAGACACACTCTCCCGTTACACACTTCATTACACCATTGACAGTTTCTGTTATGCAAACTGATGGTCTCTATTAGCTAGCCTTTCTTTCTCTTTCTCCTCTCCTTTCTTCTCTGGCTTGTTTGCTCTCCTTCGAAATTCCTAGTAGGTAGCTATGGCCTGGAACCTAAGATCAAAATTGCATCAACCTCCATTTTCTCCAAAATGGCACCAACCTCCATTTTCTCTGATTGCCCTTCTCCGACCTCCATTTTCTCCAAAACTACCAATCCTAGATCTGCCACCAACCTTGTTTTCACCTTCATTCCGTCCTTAGCCATGTTGGAAAAGTTAAGGTTGGGGCCTCTTGGGTTTTGTGGGTATTCTAGTTTTGGGGATTTTCAGATCTGGGTTTTGAGGGGAGAAGTAACAGTAGAACAAAATGGTAGAAAGGGATAGATTTAAGTCCCAATAGAGGAGATGAATTTTGTTGTTGAGATTATAAGAACAAGGACAAATTTAAATGGTTGGAGTAGGTAATTAAGCGTTTAATTAGGAGCATTTTTCTTCTCCCTTGCAAACTTCTATTGGCTTTCTTCCCCAACCTTCATCTTCCCCCAAAGGCCTCTTCTTTTCTTGAACCTTTTCAAAATAGGGGAACACAAATACGAGGCTTTAAAACCAAATTTGTAGATTTCTGTTTCATCTCTTCATCTCGAGGTTCTAGTTTTACATCATCATCTTCGCCGATCTATTCTCATCTCATGGTTCCCCATTGAGAACCTAGATCTGGAGATTGAGAGGGTTTGACGGCAAGCCAGTGAGGTATTATAGTTTACGGTAGTGAGGTAATCAAATTAAGTTTTCTTGAAATTTCTCCTTTATTTTCGGTAGCAATTTTATGTTTAATCAAATTAGTTTGGGTTCTTCCTTGAATACCCAAAAAATCTATAGTCGAAGAAGATGGAGAAGTTCAGCAGCTGGGTGAGTAATGGTAACGGAGACTGTCAATATGCTTAACAGACATCGTTAATGTGTGATGAGATGCGTAACAAGGGAGGGTACATATATTATTATTATTATTATTATTATTATTATTATTTTGGATTGTACAATGAGAAGCAATCTTTTCCTATCCCACAACTTCACCCTACTTGCATACCATATCACTTGAATTTATGAACTCTTATTTTTATGAGAAGAAAATTACGACTGAATTATTTAGGTTGTTGGCTACTCTCTGTACTATTCTAATATATATATATATATATGTAAACACACATAATTGTAACATAACTAGATCTTAAGTCATGTTTTGCATCATTCATATGTACGACCCTTTCTCTTAATTATTAAATAAAATAGTATTAATACAAAGTTATAATTTTAAATTAATCTTTTATACCATGTGTAATTTATTGGGTAAAGAAACTACAAACGTATAAGAAATAATTTATATATGTTAAGTTAGAAAAATTATATTTCCAAATGAATTTGTTATAATTATTATCCATCTCAACCATGCCGAGACCACTAAGGTGTCATTTTTGCTTGGAATACAGCGTTCCATTTTATGCAAAAGAACTATCCTAGAATAGGACTTGCCTTTGATCAATGCACCGATGGGCTAAGAGTTAGAATCCATTGGATAATTTAGGTTTTGTTTAGTATGATCATGATATTTAGTTTTTAATTTTAGTTTTAATAAACTTTATAACTACTAAAAACTAATAATTTGTCATGTCATAAATGGAATATTAACATTCACTTATTAGTTTTAGTCATGTCATAAATGAATACTGCATAGATGTGTTTGGTTAACCATAAGAATATTTATGCAGATAGTAGAAGTAGAATAATATAATCTAGGCTGCACAAGTGGATCAAAAGTCGAGAAAATGTGAAACCAACAATTCTAGGTGAAGAAACAGACCTGGTCACTGAAAAAGGGTGCAATAGGGATATCAATGGCCTCCTTTCCAATCCTTTCTGCACTTCCTCCTTCTGCTGCTCCTTTCACTTGCACCTTTGAAAATGTTGAGGCAAATGTAATCATCTTTGGACCGTTAAGTAATTTCATCCTTGACAATGATGGACACTCAAGTTTATAATTTCCCAGACAGAAACTTGTCAAGTTGGGACAAGACTTCAAGTTAATGGTTTCTATCAGTGGGAATATTATCCCTTTTTCATTTGCCTCCGTAGCTTCCTCCTCTGTGATGATTTGCTCCATCATTTCACTGTTTTTTACTTTCATCTCTGTGAGGGAAAGTGGGAAACGAGGCTCAAGGCCATGGAAGGTGTTAAGAGATATTTCAGATCACTACGATTACAAATTTCAAGTACACAAGGCTGTTTGAGATCCAAGATCTCTTGAGGATTCTTGTTCCATATTTCCACCAACTGAGGAAATAAAGTCGGAGAGCTTCAAATATTGTAACCCAGAGAAACCAACCTGCCAAGTACATACTTTAGTTATTAACATAAGAATATATCCAAGTAAATTAATAGAAAAGAAGAAGAAGAAGAAGAAGCAATAGCTTACTCCTTGCATTTGATGAATAGAATAACTGCAAAAATTGCAATAACAAATAGGGGAAATTTATGGCTCAATTCATACCTTTTCTTTGTACGATTGATTTATGGTGTCATTCAGCTCAACCGCTGGACGCCCTACATCATCTTCTTGTGTTAATTGTATTCTCTGCAGGCTGGGAGTCCTCACGACCCCGTGACAGAAGGTCTCAAAGTTGGCACATTGAGCCACCATTACTTCTTCCAACAATGGGAACTTGAATGTGAAATTTGCAGAACAGAAGCTTGCAAGTCTTGTTAAGCACTTGAGTTTCAAAACTTTTAATTTGCTGAAAACAATCACATCTTCTAAATATAATCCATCTCCTTCACCTCCAACTATTTCTGTCAGAGAGTGGCAATTTTCTACAGTGATTCTTTGGAGTTGCACCAGACTTTGGGCTGTTGCAAATGAAAATAAGTTTCTTAACCCTTGACATCTTTCTACCAACAAAGTGGTAAGATTTTGGAAAGATGGCGTAGATTCTGATAAGCTAATCGAATTATCACATCCCAGCACTTTAAGAGATTCAACATTTTGAGCAAGCAGGTCTGATGCTGAGCCTTGACTCCACATATACTTCAGATTAGGAACAGTATCCAGCTTCAACTTTCTAATACGAAAATGCCATCTTCCATCTTTCTCCTGACAATCAATGGATGCTATAGAAGGGAACAACTCGTTGAAATGAGAACAACCTATAAAAAGCTTTTCTAAATTGAAGAATCTTTCAATGAAGAAGAATGGAAAAACCTTCGATTCACTGTGGTAGCAGAGAACACGAAGACCTTTGATATTGGAGAAGAGGTCTTCTGGAAATTGGCGAGTACATATCATTGCAATGTCATCACTTGTTAATGATAGTTTCTCCAATCTAGGAATGACCTGAAAGCCAATGTAAGAAAACATAATCTTATACCTCTTGTTAAGGATGTTTAAAATTCAGAAAATGATTGATACATCATTCGGTTTAACACATCTAACAATACTTACCGGTTCAATTATTAAAATTTACCTTTGAAAATTTTCCTATCTTCAATTCAAATTTAAAAATATTAGTTTCTTAATTTTTAAACCGGTAGGAGTAGTTAGCTGTGTTGAACCAATGGATATACCCATCATTGTCCTTAAAATTCTACAAGATGGTTTGGAAAAGGAAAGGCGCACAGTTTTTGTTGTTTGTTAGGAATGTAAATGGATTAAGGTATCCCTTGTATCCAAGGAAATAAAATTTTTGGCTTACCAAAAAAAAAAAAAACCCTCTTGTTAAGGATATTGAAAAAGATATTAGGAGATATGCATTAGTAAAAGTTAATACTAAAAATTAGATAAAATCAAGTATTTTGTTAATGATAAATGAAAGAGAGCTACAGTGGTTGAAAGAGAGAGAAGATCTGAGATCCCCTACCCTAGTTATATACTTGAGTATTTATAGAATTATAGTGTATTACAATAGAGTTCATATATATAGAATAATGCCTTCTAATTCAACTGAAATAGTTTTCCATCCTTTATGGGATTCAAACATTTTGTAGTTGCATCAGTGGAGGTTTTTGTTGGAAATGATCCCTTAAATTGCTCAAAGCAAATATGGAAAATTCTAATTGAGTCTTGCATTTAAAGTCATAGTGAGATTTTGTGTTCTAATTTGATTCCAAACTTGATTAGGAACCTTAAGCCCTATATGACAATATATGATAATTCCTATTATTACTTGAATTTGTACTTTAGTAGACATCTAAGAACCTTACTTCGAATGTATATTTGTGATATAAGCAAGTTTACTTGTGTGAGTGGTTATAACCCACCCCTATGGGGGCGATTAAGATTTTACTTGACTACGCTT